ATTTGATAAGATCTGGACAAATTTATGTACCTGATACAAATTTACTGTTGCAAAACTTAGCATTTGGTATTTGGGTATCTGGTGCATTGGAGATTTGCCACATAAGAAATAATTAATGCATTGTTAATTGATTTATGATAATGCTGAGATACAGTTGAAAAAGTTTTTAGATTTTGAATCGGTATTAGACATGGTCTCAGTCTTATGATAGAGCATTGGAGATATTCAATAAAACTGTTAGTTTCAAAGATGGTTGTTATGTTGTTAGTTTGTAACATTTCATTCATGCGAGCAACAGATGTACCACATCATGCATCAACCAATCAGCAAGAGGCGCACATCAAGTGTATGTTTTTATGTCACAACTTTTCTCTCTCCTCAGAGTCTTTCTAGTGATTCTGCTGGAAGTGAAAAGTTGCTACAGAGCTTCAGGCATGAATTTAGTTTCTGTATATGGAATAAATGATTTTTTATACTTACTACCATTCCATACTGCTTCATTAAAAATACAGGAGTCAGATCAACAACACACTCCTTCAGTATGCTGCAAGTGCAAGGTCCTCAGTGATCAACAGGCTGGTAGTAATAGCTCGCTCTGTACTACTTGGAAACTAATTCATCAGACACACATCATGTTGTCGCATGGGTGCACAGGCAGCTTTGAAGTGTAAGACAAAAGGTCACATGGTGGCAACCAATGTCTTGGAAGTGAAATATTGGGGCATGGTTCATTTCTCACGAGCCCTCGACCAAATATAGGGTGTTGCAATGCGGAGATAGCAAGGATAAGCAGGCTGTCATTCACTGTTCCTCGATGATTACCAGCAATGTGTGTGTGGTATGTACTTGTGCACCTTCTTCTCTTAAAAAAAGGAAACAACCCGTTGCATATTACACTTATGGATAAGTTATCCTCTGACCATAACCCAGTTATGGTCATCCTTGGTATCAGCCGCTATATGATTAGACAGAAGAAGCTTTATTACTGACTGGCTGAAATGTGCCTGCTATAAACAACAATCACTGTACCATACCAATAATGCACTTGGAGGATGACACTGAAAGTTAAAAGATGTTTCTGAAAGCATCATCTCTGCCTAAGACACCTGTAGCAAAAAAGCTCACGAAAAAAAAAAAAAAAAAAAAAAAACCTTACCTAAACTTAAAGATTTTAGTAAAAAACTGAATGCCACTGAAATGTACACCGAATACAAGAAATCCAGAAGACAAAGCTAATATGAATTGACTATATAATGTGATTAGGCTTCTAACGAACAGACAGACACAACTAGACTAGTCTAACAAATCTACTCCCTGTCTACTGATGACAAATTTCCGTGGAGAAGTGTCTCTTGATACAAGAAATGCTACAACATCATTCTGCCCTTAAAGGCCCCAAAGGATCCACTATATTGAAAGTGAAAAAACAGAACTTTTAACACATTATCTGGAATATCAGTTTTGCAAAACAACATTCCTGCCATTACCCCAGACAAGCAATGAGTAAGCTTACCTTACAATACTGCCAATCCCAAACACAAACAATATTATTCCTGATTTACCATTAAGGCCTGTTCGCACTAGCAAAACTTTGCTTCTAAGATACGTAAGCTAACTCAACTGCTTTGCCTAACCTGATCCGAGCAACCAGTACCAGTTTTTAAAGGGATTTGACTTGGCCAATCACAAACTTGGAAACTACCATGGGATTTTGTTGATCGTACAAGCGAAAACATGGCAAAGGATTTGACTATGTCTGACTGCAAATTAATTGCAGAAGTGTTATGTGATAACAGAAGAAAAGAATATTGAATAAAAAGAGGAGAAGATGTTCCTTGGTTACTGGTTGCCAAAGGACTAAATCGAAATGGTAAGTATCACATTTATCTTTTTTTCCCCCCTTTCAGACTGCTAGTCTGGGAATAATTGCAAAATACTCTATTTAACTGCTTTAAACTACATCTAAATGTACAGTGTTTTATGAAAATCATGTGCAGTAACCTTCTTTTAATTATGTAACACTAGCAGTAGTACTCGATGGCAGTTAAGTTGAGTGTAATGTATTATTTATGACATCATTTGAAAATTCGTGTGATTGCATATTACACATCTTAAGGAATATGATGCATCACTGTAATGCATAAAAAATGCCAAAGAAACAAGTAATATTCAATACATATACCACAACTTACTACGTAATCATAGAATCATAACTGGGAAAAATGAGGGCAAAAATAAACGTTTTAAGCATTTTTAATTACTAGCTCTATTTTTTTTTTTTTTTTTTTTAAGTGCACGTCGACCTTTTCCAGGTCCCAGAAAAAAATTGTAGAAAGTTTGGTGACGATAGCATTTAGTGACTGGTTATTAGTGAACCCACACCGACTTTTTTTATAGATTATATAGATTTTGAAATTTTCAACATTTAGTGATTCAGGTAATCATATTTTAGCGATGGTCTTTAATTAGTTGCTTCCTTTTGCAAAATGCTACTTGTGCGTGGCCATTTGATAGAAGGATCCATTACTGTGAAGATCAACATGATAAATATGTTCTTCATTTTCAAGTACATTGTTCAATTCTCATGCAAAGTAAAATCATATTATTTGTAGAAATAATGTTGATAAATTGCAGATGATATTAGTATAACTGTTTGTATAAAGCATTAATAATTTAACAGTAATTTTTAATTACAGTAGTTGAAATAAAACTTCAGCTATATTTTTCCTTTTACTTCACAGATGAAGAGCTTACATATTAGTGGCAAAATCTACGTAAGTGAATAGGTTGGCCGAAGCACTACCCATCTATAGGGTTATGCCCAAAAAAAAAAAAAAAAGGTTAGTGCCGAATCTGCAGAGCAGCAGTGGCATTTAATGCCACAAATGCCATTTTTAGATACATGTATCTACCATCGAAGGTAAATATTCAAAACCAATTTTTTTTAGTTTTGTATGTTAAATATAAAATAATTTTCTTTGTGTTAAATAAATATCGTATGGATAAGATATATCCTATTTGTTACTAACCTGAAATATGATAAAGCATAATTGGATTATCAAGAGTTACCCAGGTTGATTATCAATCAAAAATTGACAATTACTCTAGTGGTATAAATTTATTAAGTATTTTAGATAGTCACATACATGAATAAAAACTCAAGCAAATAATATACTTTAGAAATCTCTCTCCTTAGGCACATAGTCATTGTGTGATTTGCCATAATTTAAATAATCAAATCCTATCCAAATATTTACACTGTATAAAACAAAAACTACCCAACACAATTTTTTTAACATTTATTGCCTCATTGTGAATGGTTTAACACCTTGTAAATCTATTATAATAAAACTGTATTACACATTATATTTGTATTCTGTTCTGTTTAGGCCAACTGAAGTTCCTGGGCTTTTGGTCAAAAAGTTTTATACAGACTTTGTTATGTACTTTTTTTATTCTTCCCATGTAATAAAAGGTCAATATCTTCTCAGTGTAAACTTATTAACAATGTAAAACAATATATACAAAGCACCTGCACTTTCCTCTGAAATCTTAGTTCTTAAATATTTTGAAGAGTCATCTGTATATATATCCTTTTGTAGCCAATTTCTTTTAATTTGCTATGGCATTTATATTTTCTTTCTATAGTTTTCTGCATGAACTACTGCATTTCATTTTGAAGCATTTAAGCAGATCTTCACAAGAGGAAGATGGCAATAGGCAGTGTTAGGTCTATACACATATAGCTGAAAACTGTATATTAGTGAACACTCTTGGCTGTTCAAAAGTTAGTGTTTGAGATTATGCATTCTTGCTATAATTTTATAATGTTACTTAACATTTAACACTTAAAAGCTTGGGATTTATTACTATAACATATACCATCAGTTCAAGGTGGTGTGGTTAAATTATTACTGTAATTCAAAAGAATAGTAATAAATACTTAAAGTTCCTTGTATATATGTTTCTGTAAAAATAAATATGACTGGCCTCATTTAATGGCTCAATATTTTTGTTTATTACATAAGGGCATTGTATTATCCATATTCAAAATTAGGGCATAGTATTTCATAATTGCCTTGAGTTAACTCCCCTTGGTCAATACTAAGGGACAGATGATGTCAACCTTCTGACTTTAATTTTCGGTGGATGCTAGCCATTCAACACTGTACTTGAATATATTTTAATTGTGCGAGTGTAACATTTAAACTCCCTTCAGATTGACTGGGGGGGGTGTTGGCACCTCCTCAGATCGACTTTTGGAGGTTGGGAATAAATAAATTGTGCATGCCAGGTCTGGGATTCCCATCCTCTGCTGTTCTGTTCTGTCTCAGAGTTACTGTCAAAAATACTAGTGTCATTACAATTATTATTAGAACTGCAATCTGCAATAGTACTATTTACAGCCCTGTTAACTCAAAATCCCACTCATCTTCACTACTAGAAATTTAATTTTCCATGGTAGTATTTAACTGCATAATAGATGCACAAAGAATAAATATTTATATACTCATTAGCAACAGAGCAAAGCTACACAAAAATATTACACATATAATATACTTTGTAAATTTAACATAAATTTCACTTAATTCTTATTTGGTAATTTTTTGGTGAATGTAACTTATGTAACCAGCAGTATTTTCTTAGAAATTATTTTTGCTAATGATAATCAACATGAAAAATCATGTAAGAATAAAATCCATTAGGATGTTACAGTTTACTTTTTTTTAAAGAACTTTTCAGATAATCACATTGAAGAAAGAAGATCCTTGGCTTGTATTATTTTTCATGCTTAATTAAGATCTAGTTAAATTATCTGCAGTTCATAAGCCCAATTTAGTAAATATATTTAAAAATATACTGTTTAGTGAGATAGAAAATATGATTTCAAATTTTGTTCTTAATACTAAATTAAATAATTATTGCCTATTCAACAATATAATTGCTATGTTTCACAAAATACTCATTATGTATTTGATGTTCTCTTCCTTCCCAAACAGGACACAGGTAAACTTTCAAAGAAATAATAATGAATTTAGAGAGCTCAGTTTTACAGTGGAATCTGTTGTCAAGTCTCCAAATAATACTGAAAATCTGGCAGAGCCTGAAGATGTGCAACCATGTTATTCGTATTATGCCCTTATGTGAGCCACTTTTAGAATCTACATGATCTACCTTTGAATAATTTCAAAATGGCCACATCACAAGTAGCATTTTGCAAAAAGGAAAGCAAACTAATATAAAGACAATAGCTAAAAATATGTAATTACCTGAATTACTAAATTTTGGAAAAATTTCAAAATCTATATATATAAAGAAGAAAGTCTGTGTGTTTGTTTGCTAATAACTCAGTCACTACGATAGCTATCGTCACCAATATATATATACTAGCAATACACCAATATATATATATATATATACTTCTATATACTAGCAATGAAAATACCCTAGAAAGAGGACAAAGAAAGACTTTGCTTTCTGTTATTGAAGAAACAAAAAAAGCCAAGACAAATGTGAAAATGATGATAAACTGTTTTTATTGAATCTTTACAGTGATGTCTAAAGATAAAAAATTAGGAACAAAAATACATCTTTTATAAATTATGGCATTAAATAAAGAAAATTATTTATATGCATTGTTTTATTTACATATTAATTTAATTTCATAAGTATTTAAAAAATAATTTACATAGAAAATGCTTTGCTTTTTTGCCATGGAACAGCTCCTTCTGCAGAGAGATAATCACAAAAGCCATCTTGAACTGCAGCTGCAGCATGGGTTGAATTATTGGTCCCTTGATGCCCAAGAAGCTGCCATGTTCTCCTGAGCATCAAGCACCTTCTTTAATGGAGGCATTCGAAAGAATAGAATCATGAAAGTTTAATGTACAATACTTCCTAGATACCTTTCCCATCTCATTTTTCATTAAGTAACTGTGAAAGTAAAGCATACTCTGAGTTGAGAGCAATTTCAATACTAAGTACTCGCCACCTAGAAGCCAGTATGCCAAAAGCATTTTCAACGCATTTTCTTGCTCGAGAGAGAGCCTATAATAAAAAATGTTTCTTTCATTCAAGAGAAATTTGCCTGGATAAATGCAGAAAAATTTTTCCCGACTAGAAAAGCCTCATCTCCAACAAATACAAAAGGTAAAACTCCATCACTGTTTAATAATGGCGCTAAAATCGGCAATGAAAAGAAAATTTCACTGACCAAAGCTTTGCCTGGAGTACAGTTATTGAAATTCCACCATCACTGATATGTCTATAATTACCTGAATCAACATAAAGGAAAGTATAATTAGCATCTACCACTGCTATTAGAGCTATGCTGTCATAGCCCTTATACAGTACAAAGTCCGTAATCCGAACTCATCGGGACTTCAGTTTTTCCGGATTATAGATCATCAGTTTAAATCTGGTAAGATGGCATGCAGAAATTATACAATTAACAATATAAAACCGTAATTTATGAAATGAAGAGCAATTATGATTTAAAGGGTATCAAAATTTACAAAAAAAAAAAAAAAAAAAAACACCTTAATATTTATTTGTTTACTTTATTAAACATTTCTATCAATGCAAATTGTTTAAGTTGCTTCGTTTATTTATGCTAATACTTTCTCTTTAATTCTATAAACAGACATAATTTCTTGTTCAGTTACAAAGTTCCACTGTTCAAGTCCTGTAATTGCTGTGTTGAGATACCGACTAACTTGTCAATCGAAATTTTTTCATTTTCAATAACGTCTCTGTCACTTTCTTCACTATTGGGAGCGTAAGGGTAAACACTTTACGCGCATGCGTAGCGGGCGTAAATGCATTATGCGCATGTGTAAGTTTGTGGCTTTGAGGTCCGGATTATAGATCATTCCGAATAATGGACGTCCGGATTACGTACTTTGTACTGTAATATGTTAATCCAGCTGATGGTAGAGCTTGTATTCTGATATGCTTACCTACATAAAAAGGAAAGCAACAATTATCAGTTGCCTAGAAAAATAATATATACTTTAATTATAAAAATTAATATAAATTTTTTTCAGTAAAAATTTTGGTGTGTTATTTTATATTATTTTGAAGTGAAGAAAAATGAGTTGCCCATACTAAAAGATATTTTCCAGTGCTATTCCATCAGTCATTTCAACAATCAATAACTCACATTTATTTCAGCCAAGAAACATTTATCACTTGACAGATAATACAGTGTCCATCAGAAATATATACAGGTGTCAGTTAAGAGATAATGGTTCAGTATAGAGAGAATTTGCTTGTGATGACCAATATTTCAGAATGTAAATAAACTTGCATAGAGATGTAAGATGATATTGTATTGAACATCATCTCTATGGAAGATCAAAATCATGTGAAATTGTAGGTACCGTAATTTCGCGCGTATAGTCCGCGGACTATCTGTGTTTAAAATGCGAATTTTTGAAGCTGCGGACTATCCACCAGTGCGGATAATACGCTGGTTGTTCACGGTTAAAATTGTTGAAATTTAAAAAACACGCTGTCGTGAACTGCCGATGATCAAATATAAAAATAGCGTGAGATTCCAAGTATCCTTCGCACTGCTTTAGCACAACTGCCGGGAGGGGGAAAAGTCGATGCGTCAACTCGGTTTTTAGGAGCCATAGTAGCAAGTACCTGGAGTACGAAAAAAAAGCGTGATTCGTTTACTTTAGCGTGGTTTGGCAACACCGAGTGAGTGGAGTCGAAGGTCACATTTCATTACCACTTATCACGAAGATAGCACGTTGCACAGTATTTTGTTTTCGTATTTTGTCTTTCATCTTCGCTAACGTTGATGAAACATCGCCGGAGATTTACTGCTGAGAGGTAGTTGAGAAAACTGAAAAAGATGGAAATAGAGAAGCGGGCCGTTATTGGTTTAATCCTAGTATCCGGTGCACACGGGATTTGACTACTTTTGGCGACTTTATGATGAGCAGTAAAAACGGGACATATACGATGAGTAGTTAACGGGTCATTCAAAGAAAATATATAGTTAAACATAGTATATACTATGTATATAGTATATATACTATGCGTGTATAGTATATATATAGACGTTCTTTGGATCATTTTTGGTGTTGGCAAAGCCCCAGCTGCACCGAACAGGATTTTCTCTATTATTGATGGAAAAAAGCGGAGAAATTGCGCAAAAGGATTTTTAAAAGCAGAGAATTTGCCGTATAAAAACCTAATTCGGAGTAGTCCCGACTATGACAATTTTAAAATTTTTTATAAACTTCTGGGCTATACTGCGAAATACGGCCCAAGGCCCAAGGCGTTTGACTTCCGGAGTACCTTTGCAACTTAATGCAATTACCTCCACAACTTCGATAAGGAAAACTGAGTTGGATAAGAAAAAGCAATGGCTAAAGGAGAGATGAACAAACCATTAAGGGTTTACTATGAAAGAAATGAATAAGGAGTCCGCATATGGGACGAGTAATTCTCTCTGCTTTCAACTTGTAATTTAAGATTGAAAGAGAGAAGGTGTTGATTGAGGCGAATTCCGGAACGCATTGCGTTAATGGAATCGGAAAGGTTGGAAGACAATCAGCCGGGAAACATAATTTTCCAGGGCTTGGGAAAGGTAATATTAGGTAATACGGACAGCCGCAGTGATAGCTAATGCCTTGGGGATGAGCGGGGGGGGGAAGAGTCTTACGACTAAAACTGGAATCCAGGGAAGAAGGAGCGAAGAGGAGGGGGGGAAGAGTCTATTCAGGAAGGCGAAAAGTTCTCCGACCGCCCGTGGCGAGAGGAGAATAGGAGCAAAAAGGAAAAGACGGAGAAATTTTAGAAGAATTTTAAATTAAATTAAGAAGAAGGTCTTGAAGTGATGAAATGCAAGCTTGTGATACCTGTGCAAAAATAAAGAATTGATAAGTTGTAGTTAGGTAAAAGAAGCACTGCAGGAATGATTATAGAGTAGATTAATTATTGCTGTATTATTTAAGTCTAAATTTTAATGAATTTAATAGTTAAATAAGTTTAAAGGTTGATTTTAATTATTGCTGATTTTTTTTAAAATTTACTTTAATGTTATAAGTCTGGTCCGTGATATATGAAAAGGTGAGGTCCTGATAAATGGGGGGAGGTCATGTTTAGTGGTACAGATGTGGGTCGCGATGAACGAGGCCAGATTAGGTCTAGCGGGCAGTGATGTAAAAAGAGAGTTAATTAAGGGTCGCCGGGTTAGGCCCGTGAAGTGCTGGTTAAAGTTTAAATTTAAAAATTAGAAAGAATTCCTAGTCAAGCAAGCACCTCCGCTTTGGCTTCCTAGGAAAGATGTTAAATGTTCTATCAAGAACGCTCCTAGGTCGCTTAGCAGAGCTGGGCTCTGCTGGATTATAAGCAGGAAGTGAGTGCAAGACCGGGTTTTCGATCTGAGATAGTCTATTGAAAAACTTGGCCGAATTTTGCCGAAAAAAGGCGTCCAGGGGTAAAATTTTGAGATCATTATGTAGCACTTCATTCCGGACGAAATAATGAGCATTGGTGAGTATGCGAAGCGTAACGCTCTGGAATACTTGGAGTTTCTTTAGGTGGCTGTTGGCTGCGGTTGACCAGATGATAGCTGCATAGGTGAGGATGGGGAAGGATGGTACTGCGATAAAGAAGGATCTTGTTGCTGAGGGAGAGGTTGCTGGTTCGGTTGATAAGTGACATTAGTTGAGTTCTGACGGTTCTTGCTTTGGCTATTGTATAGTTGATATGGGTACTCCAGAGTAGCTTCGCATCTAGATAAACTCCCAGATATTTATAGGATTCCACCCAGGGTATCTCCTCATCAATCAAATAACCTGAGTGGTTGGAGTTGACTATGGACATTCCTCTTTCTGGAAAAGAAAACGGTGGCGGCACTTTTTGCGACGTTAATTTTGATTTTCCAGGTAATGAGCCAGGACTCCAAGTCTGTTAAATAAAGTTGGAGGTGATTGAGAGTGGCGTTAAGTGTTGGGTGCTGAGAAATGATGGCTGTGTCGTCTGCGTAAAGGGCTAAAGGGCTAGATCGACACTTGGTGATTGTGGTATGTCATTTACATACAAGTTGAAGAGCGTAGCGCTAAGAATTCCTCCCTGAGGCACCCCCCCCCCAGGATAGGGCGAGGAGAAGAGACAGAATATTTAACTTTGACAGAAAAGGTACGATTATTGAGGTAAGAGTGCATTATGTGCACAAAATTAGCCGAAATTTCAAGTCGCATGAGCTTGAATAAAATTCCGATATGCCAACATCCTGTCGAAAGCCTTTGCTACGTCTAAATAGACTATAGTTGTAGGCTTTCCACTGCGAGATCCTGTGTGAATGATTTCTACTACCCTCAGTAGCTGGGTCTGAGTTGAGTGTTTTGCGCGAAAGCCGAATTGTTGAGGAATAATGAATATTTCGGTTTCGGCAGAAATCATTCAGGTATCTAAGCAGTATAGCTTCGTAGATTTTACTAAGTGAAGACAGAAGGCTGATCGGTCTATAATTTTGAGGGACCTTTGGGTCCATGCCAGGTTTTAGAATAGGAATGACTAAAGCATTCTTCCAGCTAGTTAGGATAATATTTTAACCTTAGCATTGAGTTAATCAAAACTGCTAGGTAAAATATGAATTTAATAGGCAAATTTTTAATCATGCGATTAGAAATCCTATCAAGGCCGGGTGCTTTTGCAGGGGTGAGATTTTTGACAATTGCAGAAATCTCAGTCATGGTTGTGGTAATGGGTTCCTCAGAATGTGTATCTGAGGAGAGAAATTCTTCAACTTGGTGTTGGACTTCATGCGTGTGCGTTGCACAGGTATCGAACATGAGTCCAGTGTTTAATGAGAATTGTGTTTGAAGACTGTCCGCTATGCGTTCAGCCTTCTCAGTGTCTGTTAATGCCATCCGGTCATTGACCGTGCCCATTAGGGGGGGAATGTCATGTTTGGGTTTGCGAAGCCGTGCGCTAGCAACCCAGAGGCTATTGTCAGAAGTCTTTAAGGACTTAAGGTAATTTGAATATTTATCGTCTGCAAATTTTTTAATGTCAGACTTGATCTCATTCTGGATTCTTCGCAGTTGTACTCGAATGGATTCTAAACGTGTGTTTTGCCAATCTCTGCGAAGACGGTTTTTAATTTTGATTTTATCTTTAATGAAGTCAGGTAATTTATAGTGATTAGGTCTAAATTTGGGTTTGGAAGCAGCTGTGAACGCACTTCCCAGGGTTTGGTTGAGCCTGTGAATGGCTAAGTCAACCTCCTGATTATCGTTAATTTTGATAGGGGGGAGAATACCATTTTCCAAAACATACCGAAAGTTGTCCCAGTTAGTCGAGACTTGCGCCGGTAAATTTTGATTGATTTTGGTAGTTTTAAGGGTGAGGTGAACCGGATAATGGTCAGAGGACAATTCCGGAATCACTTTGATCGAATAATCTAATGGGATATTTTTAAATAAGGCCAAATCAATAATGG